CTATCCTCGATTAAGAATCAAAATGCAGATGCGTTATCACCCTGATGACTAAGATGGAAATGCCTCATTTGCAGTAAAAAGGGTCTTCGGCTCTCTACACTCACTGTATGAAACACGGCAGCATGAAGCTGCTATTTTACGCTGGTATTCTGTGAGAGCGTGACCCTTCCGCGGTCGTTCCGACCCATTCGTGCTACAACTATATTATAGCTGCAGCTCTACCACGTAAAAAACCAACTAATAACTTCCTGATAACCACTCAAAGTAATAAAAATCTGTGATTGTAATTCCGTCTGCTAAGGAAGGCTTGCTGTAAAATATTTCTATCAAAATTTTCAGGTAAAACCGGTATTCTTAAATAATAATAATTATAAGATTCTAAAGGACACAGAGAAAATTGTGAAATAAGAGAAGAATGTAGTTTGCAAGATGATATTGTGACAAGGATTAAAAAAGAATGCTTCAGTGGTTTGGTCATGTAGAAAGAATGAATGAGGAAAGAGTTACAAAGCAAATTTATGTTGCAGAAGTGAACGGCAGAGTCGGAAAGGAACGTCCTAGGCGAAAGTTTATCGACCACATTGGTGAAATATTGAAAACGGGTCATACTAAAAGTACCCGTAACCGACGAACATGTATGCGTGGGTATATGTATGTGGAGGAGGCGAGAGAGGTGTGTCAGGAGCGTGCCAAATAGAAGTCTGTAGTCTCTGCCTACCCCTCTGGGTGACAGGCGTGAGTGTTTATGTATTATTTATTATATATTATGTATAAGAAATCTACAAAGCAGTCTGTTTATAAACTAATACATGCTGACATATTTTATATTCCCGACGTTTTGAACGCCATGGTCACGGGAGGTGACAGGTAGTCGAAATCCCAATGTGTGAACTCACGTGTTTATGTATGTATAATAATAGTAACTTTATTTTCACCACTTGCATAACTATCACATTTAAAAGTAACTACTTTATGATCTATACTTAAATTACAATTAATGGTGAGACATCTATGTCTGAACTAGATACGAGGGTGGATTGAAAAGTACTCGGCCTAACCAAGAAAATAAACACATACTAAATTAGTTATATTTTTATTTTTCTACATAATCACCATCAAGTTCAATACACTTTTGCCACCTCCCCTTCCAAGCACTTAGACCGTTGAAAAAAAATGATTCTTCCTTAGAGTCAAAATATGCGTCTACAGCTGCTTTGACCTCGTCGTTTGTCGAAAACCTTTGACCTCCCAAGTGCTTTTTTTAGGTTAGGGAACAGAAAGAAGTCTGATGGTGCCAGATCAGGTGAATACGGCGGATGCGGTAACAATTCAAAGCCACAGTTGTGAATTTCAGCCATTGACTGTACTGACGTGTGACCACGGGCGTTATCTTGATGAAACAGGACTTTTGTTCTGAGCATTCCTCGACGTTTTTCTTTTATTTCCTCTCGTAAACGACGTAGTAAGGTGCAGTAGTAATCAGAGTTTATATCTGACCCCTTTCAAGATAATCAATCATAATCACACCTTTCGAGTCCCAGAATACTGAAGCCATCACGTTATTTGCCGACAAAATCGACTTAGCCTTTTTAGGGGGTGGTGAACCAGGTCTTCTCCACTGTTTTGATTGTTGTTTTGTTTCCGGTGTACAGTAATGAACCCATGTTTCGTCCATAGTAACAAAACGATTCAAAAAATCATCTGCATCGGCTTCAAATAACTCCAAACAGTCGCGTGAAATAGTCAATCGCGTCCTTTTTTGTTCAACTGAAAGCAGTCGCGGAACCCACCTCGCAGACACCTTGTGGACACCCAACTCGTTAACAATGATGTTTTGAGTTCGTTCATAAGAGATGCCTATAATCTCGGCTATCTCTCTAATTTTTAATCTGCGGTCTCCCATTATTAAATTAAGTACTTTTTTAATATTTTCGTCAGTAGTTGACGTCAAAGGCCTTCCAGAGCGGGGTTCATCTTTCACACTCTCTCTACCACGCTTAAATTCTGCTATCCATTTTTTGACGGATGAATATGACAGACCACAATCGCCTAATGTACTGACCATGTCATCATGGATGGCTTTTGATGATAGCCCCTTCTTATGGAGGTACTTAATGACGGCACGCTGCTCGATTTGCTCCATTCGCGGAAATTATGTCCGATTACTTTGTTAATAAATTTATAAAATCACAACTAATTATCGCACACGTTTCGAACTTCACACAATGAACTAGTCTGAACTAAACTAAATAATGTGGGTAGATTTGATTTTTAGAATTGAATGGATCTATGTTAGGCCGAGTACTTTTCAATCCACCCTCGTAAATATATATCTGTATTTCAGATCACAGTGTTCTTCCTTAGAACATATTAACACTCTAGAATAGAAGGTATATAACAAATAAAATGTAAACCACAACCATAAGAAAATATGTTTTGTTATAAAAAGAAAAATTTTGTAATGTATCTCTTTGTGTACATTATGTTGAATGCGTTAGTGAGTGTCATCATAAGGTGAACAAGTTTCTAAATGTCTACTGAAGCTTACAGACATCTGTATACAACTTCTAACGCAGGAAGCTACGGATGTTACCCTTAAGGACTAAGATGGAATACCTCACATTCTGTAAATATGTAAGGATAAATACTTAAAAGTAAAAAAATTAAATGTCAAAAGTGATGGAAGTATGGTAATAATGTAGGTTTGACACAAAAAGATGGAAAAAAAAAAAAAAATTAAAAAAAAAAAAAAAAAAAAAAATTTAAATAAAATAAAAAAAAAAAAAAGGAAAAAAAATAAAAAAGTGAAAAACCACGTAATGGCGGTGTCGGAATCCACCACCCCATATCGTCCTGTGGGTGTGGTTCTTACAAGACATTTCTGGCGATATATACCACCAGATGGGTCAGCAGCGTCTGCCTTATTACATCTACAATATTTAAAAAAAAACTATTTTTTTTTTTAAACTATTGTAGATGTAATAAGGTTTGCTATGGTTACGCTAGCGTAGCGGCTATGGCAAATACCGCCCTATTAAGTAATCTGTGGGTGAAACCGATGTGAAGCAATGCTTTTATTAAACTGTTATGATGAAAACTGATGCGAATTTAATGACTCTCAATCTCTACATTTATTATAGATATTATTACTAACATTGGTACTTAAATAAATAATAAGGTACGTGAGGGTAATATGATCATCTTAATCTTTGCCGCCATATAAAACCAAAACTAGGAGAAGGACAGAGACAAAAACACAAAGTCGTATACTATAACTAATATATTAAGAAAAAAATAGCAAACAAGCTTTGGCAATAATTAGAAACTCTTCGAAAAATGTACACAAAAAAACTAACTACACTACACCATACTAAAATCGAGTAAAATATTTACTAAAATGTCAAATGTCAAAATGGCGTCGAAAAAGCATCGCCCTTTTGACCCTTTATTATTTGATTGACCGATGAAGAGCTATCGTATCACAGAGCCATCTATGCAAATTAGACTGTAGTTTTTGAGTTATAAGAAAGTGACCATATTAACCTCACGTACTATACCTATAATATACTATACCCATATAACAGTAGAAATAATAACATACCTATATAATAGTAGAAATATCCTCAGATAGCGGTAATTAAGCAAGGACTCTACCCCTAAGTAGAGGGGACTCTACTTCAGCCTTTGTCCGTAGAAATAAATGGCAAGATTTTAAGCCGTGTAAGGTGGTCAGGTCAGGTGATTATTGGTAATTCAAAGTTTTTCTATATACCTATACCGCCGTACTTCGAAACTTAACAAACTTTGATAGCGTGATTTAGGCTTCCTCGTCTTCAGACCAATAATACTTTATCAAACTGAACCTTCGTTTTTCGTAATGCGTACAGCAAAGGAGTGGAATAAGTGCCGACGTCTACCTATCGGTGCGATCACAATCTTGGCATCTTCAAGGCAAGAGTGAATAGGATTTTGTTACACTAAGACATTGCAATTTATCGTTTAGGACTTTTGTCACCACTCACCAGGTATTGTCTTAAACTCTGACTTCTTTTATAAGATAAGGGTGACAAACGATTACAAAGTCCATCTCATGGTAAGTGGATACATCCACCCTCGATTAAAAATGAAAACGCAGATGCGTTCCCACCCCTGAGACATTTTGACCGCAGACAAGATAGAATGCCTAGTTTCAAGTTAAAAATGTCTCCGATTCTCTACACTGACTATACGAAACGCTGCAACAAACCCCGGACGCATTTGTGTTAAAACAATGATAAAGCTACAGCTTGGCTCTACCACGTAAAAATAATAATTAAAAAAATATATAGTGAAACTTACACTGGAAATCGAATTCCATAGAAATTAGATCGATAGAATAAGAAGCTTGAATTAAACTGTAAAAATATCTATTTAGTTTAATGGACTATCAATTAAAAGCTGAATGTTTTTTAAAAGCCGCCGGCATTACCTCGCCATAAGATAAAGTCTTTAAATTTAGGGCTGGCGATTCACCTAGTTGCGCCTGGGTAGGATCTGCCAATATGGCGTTATTCAGATTTAGTGTAATGAAAGACCAATTATTTGATCTTTTTTTTTAAATATCTTTAAGTTTATTTCGACAAAAATATAGTCTAGATCACTCCTGGTATTCCTCTCTATGAGTTCGTGTATAAGAAGTTGGTACTATTTTTCGTTTGCGAATATAGATTGGACCAAAACACTTTTTGTATATACCAACATAAATGTGAATAAAAATATATTTATAATAACAGTCAAAATCTTTGTATGTTGTGTCGTTTATATTGTATAAGAAACTTCATCCATCTCAATAATCTTAAATTAGACATTAAAAACAGAATGTAAGTTTATTTTTATTTTTATTAAATGGTAAATTTTAAAATAGTCTATTGCCAGTATATGAAAACTTTTCAAAACCACTAAATTAAAAACATTTTTAGTGATTTCCAATTAAAAACAAAAGTATTTTTCTTATTACTTACCTCCAGGAAACCTATGAGGGAATATCCTTCCGTGCCTGTTGATTAACCATGGGTATAACTGGTACGACTCTCTTGGCACTGGCGCTGCTGGATGTGGCGGTGGATGAGGTGGTAACGGGGCTCCAAAACTTTGCTGCTGATGAGCTAATGCTGCTGCTAGAGCAGCCCCTTGGAAATGTGCTAAGAACTGGTGGTGATGACTTTGAGCGTCCAAATAAGGTAGCCTCTTTAGATCTGGTGTCGGGAAAACAGCCGGCAAAGCGCTCGGTCGTAACAAGGGCCGCGGAGACGGACTTCTGGGAGATGCAATGGGTGACGGTGAACCGGGGCTAGCTAGCGGCGGCGAAGCGTGCTTAGGTCTTTCGGAACCACCAACTATACTGTCTATACTAAATCCAATTTTTGGCTTTGATGGCACCGCCACCACAGGGGTCGGTGCGAGAGGCATCATGCTTTTGCACACAACAGTACTGTCACAAAAAATACACCAAATCAAAAGCACATGTTACACACACAATCCATTTTCGTGACGCGAACGCGCGATACGAACGCCAAGGCGGCGCGCGGCCGAATGAACCGGTTGACTTTGCTCAACGCCCGTTGAGCAATGAAAAAAAAACAATGAACATGGTCGCCCGCTCTCCTATTGGACAGCAAAACCCAATGGGTGTGAACTGAACGCTGCTCTAAGTTCTTTATTTGAACATCTGGAGTACGATTGGCTGTACGTGATTCAAAGGTGGAATTTGTATTTTGGAATGCTTTAGAAGTGGGCGGTTACGTACGTACGTACGATTTTCAACCAGCCAGATGGTGTGTTGGGTTAAATTTGTCTTTATCGCTCGGGGTGGATGTGCTTTTGAATTTCGTCGGTTGTGATTCAATTAAGGTGCTATTGGGTAGGTTAACGCGCGCGATATTCACTTTTTTTTTTCGTTTCGCTCGCTCGGCTGCGGACTGTCGATTTCTGCCTCTACAAATGGAGTAATACTTTTTAATTAACTCCGATGCTTTATAAGCCTAATATCACGAGAATAAAGTATTCAACGAATAAAAACTAAATGGATTCGAATATATAAACCTATTTGCAATTATTTCTGTCGTTAAAGTAATTGTTACTTTTGCTTACCAATTGTTTTTAAAGTTGCAGAATTTAATTTTAATAAAACGCGATAAGATTTAAATTTCACGCAAATTTTCCGCTATTATAAACTAAACTGTGTTTGGTAAATACTTTGATTTTTTAATTAATTTTTTATGCTTTAGAGTGTAGGTACCTATAACTAACTACACAGCGATTGATTTTTGTTTTAAAACCAATAAATCTTTATCATATTGTAAACTTTTCTAGACGCATTTAAAACACTTTTGTGTTTTATTATTCATGCTTATATTTTTCCTTTTAATATTTTCTGATAAAACTAAATCAGTGACCTTTTATTTTGTGAGTTATTAATTATATAAATGTATTTGAGCATTTTTAAACTTTAAGCAGTGGTAGCTCATTTACTAGGCGCTAGCCGGAAATTTCCCGTTACGTAAACGATCCGGGTTCCATCTCCGCCGGCATCGGTAAAACTTTTAATTACAATATTACCTACGTGCTCATTTCATTATCATCTTTTTAGTCAACTGTTACAATACTTTCGGGATAAGATGCGATGGTGGGATTTTTTTATAAAATATTAATCTGGTAGCCCGGGCGAGTTATTAATTGCAATTGTAAGTTCTTGTGTACCATGTGCTCGACGGTGAAGGAAACATCATGGGGAATCTCTCTCGCCTCGTCTGAGAAATAAGAAAACAAATATTTCGAAGAAGACATGTGAAGTTCGCCAACACGCATTGGGGCAGCGCGGCACATTTCCATGCCTTAAAACCCCCTCTGAAATGAGAGGAAACCTGTGCCCAGCAGTGGGGCGTATATAGGCTGTAACTTTAACTTTTTAACCATAGACAATAGTCTTATCTTCGATTAACATTAATTAAAAAGCAGATGCGTTATCACCCTAAGGACTAAGATGGAAATGCTTCATTAACAGTAAAAAGGGTCTCCGGTTCTCTACTAAAAAAAACCCCAGCTTAATGCTGCTGTGTTTCGTATGGTGAGTGTAGAGAACCGAAGACCTTTTTCTGCATCCTATTTTCTCTGCATCTGCATTTTATTTCTGAACTGGGAATAAATGTAGATTGTAGATGTCTATGGGCCATAGCATCCGCTAACCATCAGGTAGACTGTGTACTCGTTTGTCACTAATCAAATAAATATAAAAAGAGTCGAATCGACCAATTTTTTAGCAAGATTACCCTTCTTAAAGTATCTATCAAATTGAAATTATTGAAAAGTACGTAAATATAAGTATAGTTTATTTAAAATCGACTTCAAAAAGTGATTATAATGATATTTTTCTCATATTAAAAAAATCATAGGAAAAGGTAGAAAGATAGGTACAAAATAGTTTTCTATCAACTATTAAGACATTAATAAGATTGAGATGGCTATTCCTTAGTTTATCAGTGGAGTCAGCCGTGGATTGAGAATATCCACTACTCTATATATATCTCGTGGGTGTCGTGAGAGGCGACAATGAGAAACTAAACCAGGAGATTGGCAGCAAATTGCCAAACGTGGCAACTATGGCAAATATCGCCACTTTTAGAGGCTTATAAAGTTATATTTCCGCCACGCAGTGCCGCTCTAATGCCTTTTGAGGGACTTCACATGCCTGTAAATTTTTTTTTCTGAGACATTTAGGTTTCTTACGATATTTTCGTGTTAGTGGGAAAGTAGCGCTTAAAATTGCAATAAACAATTTCATTAATGCCGGCGGGGATTGAACTCGGGTTGCGCGATTCATGAACCTTATATAAATACCTCACTCGTTTCTACATTTTAATTGATAAAATTTGACTCTACACATGTACATATGTAGAGATCTGTGTCTTACTACGTTTTTCTCCTATACACAATTCTATTCCCAAAATTTTACTCTACCTACGTATTTAAAGGAAGCTTTTCTTTCTTACTTATTGTCTTATTACTCTTTTGTTGATCACTATATTTCTTCCTATATTTCTAGTGACAAAATTTGACTCTGTATATGCAGAGTGGCATTTAGTGCCTTTTTTATAGAATAAGGATGACAGACGAGCACACAGTCCATTTGACGATAAGATGGATGCTGTGGTCCATAGACATCTACATTTATTTTCATTCAAGAGTCAAAATCCAGATGCGTTGTCCCCCCTGAGGACTGAGATGCAATGCCACGTTTCCAGTTTTCTACACTCACCATATGAAACACAGCAGTATTAAGCTGCTATTTTACGTTGGTATTCTGTGAGAGCGTGGTCCTGCCCCAGTTAAGCTAAAAAATAGAGAACTTCAAACTAAATCGTAAGGTTTGAGCTACACTGCTTTGTTGTATAGTATAAGATAATAAGATACAGAGGCTGTGGCCGTGGTAGGAAAAGGGGAGATCTCCCGCCGGGCAAGGTGTTCTGCCCGGGGAGCGGCCGACACTCCGAGTGATAGTTCGGAGAAGTTCTATATATGCTGTCTATGATTCGGAATGTTAATAGCGCGATTTAGGCTTGGGTGTGTTTCGGTGTGCTAGTGGCGCGACGTCAGCGCCGCTACATCACCCCCCTGCTCAGACCGGAGGTCGATAGTGCAGCCTTGTTGCCGACGAATGTGCAAGTGCCAGTGGATTGCCTTGTAGTCTGCGGTGAGTCGAGAAGAAGGCAAGTAATCTGCGAGAGTGCCGTGAAGCAGAGGCGAGCAGTAAGGCTCAGAGCCGTGCCGAACACTGTATAGCGCAGAGAGTAGCTTGAAGGAACAGGAAGCATTATTATTCCAGTGCTGCGATGAACCTTGTGAAGCTAGATGGCTTGCAAGATATGAAGACTGCAGTTTATATCTGCTCGGGCGCGAATGGGTGGGGTATTCTATGACGATGATGAAGCTTGAAGTTTCCGAAGGTTGTTTGGTTGCGTGTTCAGATCACGTCGGGGTCACCACTGTGGCCGTGGTAGGAAAAGGGGAGATCTCCCGCCGGGCAAGGTGTTCTGCCCGGGGAGCGGCCGACACTCCGAGTGATAGTTCGGAGAAGTTCTATATATGCTGTCTATGATTCGGAATGTTAATAGCGCGATTTAGGCTTCGGTGTGTTTCGGTGTGCTAGTGGCGCGACGTCAGCGCCGCTACAGAGGCTCACTTGAAATACCTATGTAGAGTCAAATTTTGTTAACAGAAATATAGGAATAAGTATATAGGAATGAGTGTAAGTAGTTACTTTTTACGTGGTAGAGTCACGCTGCAGCTATATTATAGTTGTAGCATGAATGGGTCGGCTTGACCGGGGAAGGATCACGCTCTCACAGAATACCAGCGTAAAATAGCAGCTTAATGCTGCTGTGTTTGCTGTGTGAAACGAGAAATTCCATCTTAGTCCTCAGGAGTAGCAACGCATCTGCGTTTTATTCTTAATCGAGGATAACTGTAGATGTCTATGAGCCACAACATCCACTTACCATCAGGTGGACTGTGTGCTCGTTTGGCACCCTAATTCTATAAAAAAAACACGAGCAAAACGGCAACGCATTAATGTTTTGCTTACGTACCATGTAAGCGCTTTTTTGGTTTGTGGTCTTAGGCCTCGTTGTCTAGTTGTCTAAACACGAATGATTATGTGGAGCCCAGTTCAGATTCAGGTCAGGTCAAAATCAGTAAATGGGTTTATCTGTCAAGAAATTCCCAGTAGCAGTGGAATCAGTAAGATAAAGGTATTTCACCCCCGTGCCTCGAAAAGCACGATTCAGTATATTGCCTTCCTGTCAAATTGAGTAAGGTGATTGGGAATGCACTGTAATCCTGTATTACGCAGATGACTACAATTACAATTACAATACTCTATATATATTGTACACTAACAAAACATAAATATAAGAAATAATGAACAAACAATGAAGGAAAAACAAAAGGCGGTCTTATTGCTACATAGCAATCTCTTCTAGACAAACCAGAAGAGGAAATTAATAAAAATAAAATTAGGATTAACGGGTAGGGTGCACCAAATTAGACAAAAAAATACAATTTATATAATATAAAATGTCAACATATTAAGGTATATTAGTGACCATAACTAAGAGCAGGAAGAGAGAGGAGTTAAAGAGACAAATAGTGTTCCTTAATCTGATTCTTGAACGCATTTAATGATTGAGCACTTTTAATGGACTGGGGTAAGGAGTTCCAGAGTCTTACTCCAAGAACAGCAAAAGATTTATCATAAAATGTCGAGGAGTGTAAAGGACACTGCGAAAGGTTTTCTTTGGACCGTAAGGAAAAATCGTGACAAGAGAAAAACGTTCTTTTAGATAGGGAGGACTTGATACATTAAATAAGATGCAGTAGAGCGAGAAAGTACATGAATATTCCGACGAAAACGG